CAGAACAGCAGCCAGAGTCAAGTATCCACAGAACAGGGGCCAGAGACGGGTATCCACAGAACAGTGGCTGCAGTCAAGTATCCACAGAACAGTGGCCAGAGTCAAGTATCCACAGAACAGTGGCCGGAGTCAAGTATCCACAGAACAGTGACAGGAGTCAAGTATCCATAGAACAGTGACCAGAGTCAGGTATCCACAGAACAGTGGCCAGAGTCAGGTATCCATAGAACAGTGGACAGAGTCAAGTATCCACAGAACAGTGGCCGGAGTCAAATATACACAGAACAGTGGCCGGAGTCAGGTATCCATAGAACAGTGGCTAGAGTCAGGTATCCACAGAACAGTGGCCAGAGTCAGGTATCCATAGAACAGTGGACAGAGTCAAGTATCCACAGAACAGTGGCCGGAGTCAAATATACACAGAACAGTGGCCGGAGTCAGGTATCCATAGAACAGTGGCTAGAGTCAGGTATCCACAGAACAGTGGCCAGAGTCAGGTATCCATAGAACAGTGGACAGAGTCAAGTATCCACAGAACAGTGGCCGGAGTCAAATATACACGGAACAGTGGCCGGAGTCAGGTATCCATAGAACAGTGACCGGAGCCAAGTATCCACAGAACAGCGGCCAGAGTCAAGTATCCACAGAACAGTGACCGGAGTCCAATATCCAAAGAACAGTGGCCAGAGTCAAGTATCCACTCCACAGTGGCCAGAGTCAAGTATCCACAGAACAGTGACCAGGGTCAAGTATCCATAGAACAGTGACCAGAGTCAAAAATCCACAGAACAGTGGCTGGAGTCAGGTATTCACAGAACATTCCCCTGAGTCAGGAATCAACAGAACAGTGGCCTGTCAAGTATTCACAGAACAGTGGCCAGAGTCAGGTATCCACAGAACAGTGGACAGAGTCAGGTTTCCACAGAACAGTGACCAGAGTCAAGTATCCACAGAACAGTGACCGGAGTCAAATATCCACAGAACAGTGGCCGGAGTCAGGTATCCATAGAACAGTGACCGGAGTCAAGTATCCACAGAACAGCGACCAGAGTCAAGTATCCACAGAACAGTGGCCAGAGTCAAGTACCCACAGAACAGTGGCTGGAGTCAGGTATTCACAGAACATCTCCCTGAGTCAGGAATCAACAGAACAGTGGCCTGTCAAGTATTTACAGAACAGTGACCGGAGTCAGGTATCCACAGAACAGTGGCCAGAGTCAGGTTTCCACAGAACAGTGGCCGGAGTCAGGTTTCCATAGAACAAGGGCCAGAGTCAAGTATCCACAGAAAAGTGGCCCGAGTCAAGTATCCATAGAACAGTGGCCAGAGTCAGGTATCCACAGAACAGTGGACAGAGTCTGGTTTCCACAGAACAGTGACCAGAGTCAAGTATCCACAGAACAGCGGCCAGAGTCAAGTATCCACAGAACAGTGGCCGGAGTCAAGTATCCACAGAACAGTGGCCAGAGTCAAGTACCCACAGAACAGTGGCTGGAGTCAGGTATTCACAGAACATTCCCCTGAGTCAGGAATCAACAGAACAGCGGTCTGTCAAGTATTCACAGAACAGTGGCCAGAGTCAGGCATCCACAGAACAGTGGACAGAGTCAGGTTTCCACAGAACAGTGGCCGGAGGCAGGTTTCCATAGAACAATGGCCAGAGTCAAGTATCCACAGAAAAGTGGCCCGAGTCAAGTATCCATAGAACAGTGGCCGGAGTCAGGTATCCACAGAACATTACCCGGAGTCAGGAATCAACAGAACAGTGGCCTGTCAAGTATTTACAGAACAGTAACCGGAGTCAGGTATCCACAGAACAGTGGACAGAGTCAGGTTTCCACAGAACAGTGACCAGAGTCAAGTATCCACAGAACAGTGACCAGAGTAAGTATCCACAGAACAGTGACCGGAGTCAGGTATCCACAGAACAGTGACAGGAGACAAGTATCCACAGAACAGTGGCCGGAGTCAGGTATCCACAGAACATTACCCGGAGTCAGGAATCAACAGAACAGTGGCCTGTCAAGTATTCACAGAACAGTGACCGGAGTCAGGTATCCACAGAACAGTGGACATAGTCAGGTTTCCACAGAACAGTGGCCGGAGTCAGGTTTCCATAGAACAAGGGCCAGAGTCAAGTATCCACAGAAAAGTGGCCCGAGTCAAGTATCCATAGAACAGTGGCCAGAGTCAGGTATCCACAGAACAGTGGACAGAGTCAGGTTTCCACAGAACAGTGGCCGGAGTCAGGTTTCCATAGAACAATGGCCAGAGTCAAGTATCCACAGAAAAGTGGCCCGAGTCAAGTATCCATAGAACAGTGGCCGGAATCAGGTATCCACAGAACAGTGGCCTGGGTCAAGTATCCACAGAATAGTGGCCGGAGTCAAGTATATGTACTTGTAGAGGAGAGTATCCTAAATAGAAGTCGGAAAGCTATCTCATCGCTATCCTAAACATGTAGGCAGACGTCACAATGTTTTTTCGCACGGTTCGTGTGAGAATTACCTCCCTTACTACATTCGACTGACAAACATCATACAGGAACACTTCTCTAAATGCTGTTGTTTCCCTGTTTATACTGTTCTCAAGTAGTCTGTTGTAACTGTCATCAATTATTCTCTACCACCACTATATTCCTATTATGAATGTCAGTAGCACATCAACAATCATGTCTATTGCAAATACAGATGATCATATTCCACTGAACTACTTATATATCATATAACAGGTGTTCTATAGACTTCGGCCCACGACAGCTAATGGACGGGTCATGAGTAACCGAAAATGTAAAAACATGTACTAGCACACACTTAGATAGACTTGGATCTAATTCAGTGAAACACATACTATATAGACCCCAAACTTCGCTTCTCCGGACACATCCTTAAATGAAAATTGCTATTGATAGGACTTTAAAAAACAATCAAATAATGTACTATATCCTTCTTTTGGATCAGTGACCAAAAACATGAACACTCCCGTATGGGTCCGAGCCCTCGGTCATCAAACTAGGATTGTTTATACACATATATATTAAGTAGAAAAAATATAATACTAAAGTTCTGTATCTAGAATGCAAGACTTGACATCAACATCTTGAAAGAAAAAAAAATGATCAGATATCGACACCCAGACGTATATAACAATTTTTTATTATCAATTTACATTAAAAAATTCAATGTACACAAAATTCCCTAGCTCAAACACAAAATAACAACATTCTCAAAAAAAAAAAATTCAAGTGGAAAAAAACACATTTTCAAAGAGGTTGAAGATCAGTCAGAATTTCGTGAAAAAAAACCACCTAAATATGTCATGCGGATCTATATTTTTGATATTCATGTGTTTTCTTTCAAAATTATTGGAACTATAATAAAAGAACATGATTTTTACAAATCAGAAAGCAGCTGTGAGGTGAATTGTTTGCATGTCTTCTGTCTCACTTCTGCATTTGACAGTCTACTGGAAATCAAAACCCTGTATCAATGTATAACATGTAACAAGTAACCATTCAACCACAGCAATACAAAAAGAATACATACTGTGTATCCCAAACTATCTCCAATTCTGTTTCAAGGCTTCACGTCTGGAGTGGGTAAAAAGGTGAACTTTTAAACTGAGGACTTCCTATATGATTTCAAAATAAATCTAGGTATTTGCTCTATTGCTCCCCCCCAAAAAAACTTTTTCCTAAATCTACAGAAAAAAATCACTTGATAGAAGTGTTACCATAACTTAAACAAGCATGTTAGGTTAATGTTGTAATGTACCCATACATGTCACTGTAGATAGAATTAAGTTATGCCAAAACAAAATTTCCATTGTATATGTGAATTTCGCTTAATTCTGTTCTAGAACTCCAAACTTGTCTGAGTAAGCCTTTGTTTATCCTAAAACTCAAAACTTGTCTGCCTAACAATTTGTCTGTCCTAAAATTCAAAACTTGTCTGCCTAACAATGTGTCCGCCCTAAAATTCAAAAGTTGTCTTACTAAATGTGTGTCTGTCTTAGAACTTAAAATTTGCCTCACGAAAATGGTGTCTTTCATATAATTTCAAACTTGGCTGACTACACATGTTGTCTGTCCTAGATGACTAAACTTGTCTGAGTAAACATGTCTGTCCTAGATGTCCAAACTTGTCTGACTATACATGTGCCTGTCCTAGATGTCCAAACTTGTCTGACTATACATGTGTCATCCTAGAACTCCATTTTTTGCTAGTATTCGTGTACCTGTCTGTCCTAAAAATGTACTGAAAATGGGCAGTAAAAACAATCCTGTATGTGAAACATAATCAGTTACCGGTATTAGGTATTTACTACTTCAGAATGGAAACAAACAGCACCATTATTGAGAACATTCAGCAGATATCTGAATGAAAACATCATAGATATCTTCTCCCTGTAAGTCCATTAATAGTAACACCTATTTCAGTCAGGAAATCAAACACAGTCAGAAACATCATGGTTAAGAATCCAAACATGATTGTCATATTGGATACAATGATAGATTTTTCAATGAAGAGCTTCCTACAAGTATTAATGAAAAATTGTTTACTTTTATAAGCCAGCAAAATGACAAGTTTATTGTGGTGTAATTAATGTTGTTATTGCAATGGTAGAAAACAAAAATACGAAAAAAAATCAGTGAATTTTCCTGACTTTATCAATAAACAGGCATACCCTGGTACACATGTAGGTCAAAAACTGCAAACAATTATACAACAATGGAATGGACAAATATTCCTATCAACCATAATGATATGTTTACATTGTAAGGCTCCATATAATTAATTTACTGGGTTTTTTTTCAAAACGTTCATGCTGGAATGAGGACTGTTTTCAGCTGAATTTGTAAGTAACAGAATGTAAGTTATAATGTTGCCGATAGTTAACTCCCTTGGTTAATGGTTGATGTAGCTGTATCTTCTCCAGATTTTCCAGTGGCCATCAATACAAAGTAATATTCAGACATCACAACCAAAATCATATCTGTATTTGCAATAACTTATGACTATTTTACAGTGGTTTATCATGTGTTAAACCTGAATCCTGGTCATTAGTTTACATAAATGAATTATGGTGTACAGTAGGAATAATGCTTTATATGCAATCTTACTATAGGAGTTTAACAATGACACTATCTGAAAATGACAACTTCATTTATCAAATTCACCTGAATTATCTGCCATTGGAAAAGTTACAAAATCCCCCCCCATAATTTGGGTAGCACTAAAGTTGAAAATTGTAAATGATATATCGACAGATATTTTCAGTTTTGTTAAACACAATGAGAGGACATTAGCAAAATAATATTAATTTTCTAGATTTTTATGAAAGACAATCTGTCAAAAATTCTGATTTCACATTCAATTCTCACACATTCACACGACTGTAAATTACATGTATAACAATCTTTTATGGAATATGTCAATCCTTCAGGAAGTCAATGTTCCATAGCACTTTGGTAGGGTTTCTCTCTATGCTGCAGCTTTTCTCCGCAGCACAAGGGGGCCTACATTGTCTCCTGTCTCCTCATTGTGTTTGTTGTGGCTACCATCACATAGAGGGAACTGCAAAAAATGGTCAAATACCAAATTGATAGAGGTTATTACAAACGGTCAAATACCAAATTAATAGAGGGAACTTCAAATGGTCAAATACCAAATTAATAGAGGGAACTGCAAATGGTCTTATACCAAATATAATATAATTCAATTTAATATTATATATTTTTTAATATTCATAGATAAGCTCAACATTGTAAATACACTTCCCATTACAAAATGTAACTGATCATGTGAACACGATGCTGAGAAGTCAAGTGTAACATTACCAGTAGTTTAAATGTTGTATGCCCCTGTATGCAACAAATTATGCAGGCAAAACAAAGGAAAAGTTACCTTCTTTGACCGCCAGCATCTGCAGTAGGTTACTTTGTCGGCAAGATCCTCCATATCCACTAAATTCACCACCTTGGGCGTTTCCTTCTGAATTTTAAGGTTCACAGGGTGTTTCTTTGGTGGAGGTTTAGGTTTAAAAGCCTGTGATGTGATATACACAAGCAAAGATACTGTTCCAACAACAGGCACGAGTGAAAACCATTCTACAACTGAAATTGAAGAAAACTTTAAGTTAACGTATCAACCACAACCAGACAACTTGCAGGTAAATTGTGACACAAATTGGTGATACACTCACCCCAATGCAAAACTTTTGTTTTGTTATTCGGACATTCTTCTTGCCAGAACAGCACCCCTTCTCAGGGTCAGGGGTCACACCCCTATTTATATCTTGAAAAGCCTGACATTTAATTACAATGGTCTATTGATGGCATAAATCTGTTGACCTACCATCTATTTATAAAATCAGTCATATTAGGAGGCCATGGAAGGATTTTTTAAATGGAATAACTGTATGGGATTAAATTTCTATTCTGTACTTCAAGCAAAGTTCTATTGATTATAGTAATATTCAGTAAAATGAACTACCCCTACTTGTGTACATCTATCTCAACATTATATAATGAACTGTGCAATTGGTACATGTATATACGTTTGCCTATATTCCATAGCTCTCTTATGATCCCCGACTTACTTAGCACAACGTCACTGCCTGCAGTATCGACCGGACAGTGCTTTTTTCAGATTTGAAAATTATGTAAAACTTCAAATTTAGAGAGGAGATGTGCAGTAGCCTGCACGTTACCGAATGCCTTAGCATATCCTTTATCAGTATATGATTATGTTTGTTGTGTACGATGGCCGACAAGAGCCTGACAAAAAGATATGAATTTTCACGGTACACTTTTATATGGTACACAAAGATATGAAAATTAAAATCTTTGTGTACCATGTAAAAGTGTGCCATGGACAATGGTACACAAAGATATGAAAATTCAATTCTTTGTGTACCATGTAAAAGTGTACCATGGTACATAAAGATTATAAACAACTTTACAAAAATACTCTTTACTTTCACATGTATATGTACCAACAGCGGATATAAGCCGGCAAAATGATTTGAATTTTCATATCTTTCTGTACCGTGGTACACTTTTGCCCGGTACAAATAGATATGAAAGAAGGTTACCACGAGCGGTATATAATACGCCCGTCACACATTGAATGAGCAGTTGTTTGTATGATTGAAATATATGAAGTATTTGTGAGTAATTGATATTAAAAGAGAAATCATTCAACATAACTGGTAGATCAATGAGTGCAATACAACATCATCGAACGCATGCATCGCATTAATGAAACCAAGGGGAATAACTCCAATAATTACGGTCGGATGATGGCTGTTATCATACTTGTCCGAGGTTTCATGGTAATTAACCTTGTTGTGAAGTTTGAAGTTAATCCGTTAATAATTACTCGAGATATCGAGCGGACACTGTTTCGGCAAGTCCATAAAGGGGCATAACTCCACAAATTATGGTCGGATAATGGCGGTTATCGAACTTGTCCGAGGTTTCATGGTAATTAACCTTGTTGTGAAGTTTGAAGTTAATCCGTTTATAATTACTTGAGATATCGAGCGGACATCGTTCGCTTGCCCGCCCACGTGATAACATAATACGTCCCCGTCTTCGACGGGCGTATAAAAAGTGTACCATGAAATAAGGCGTTACACTTTTTTTCATATCTTTCTATACCGTGGTACACTTTTGCCCGGTACAAATAGATATGAAAGCTTCTCTCTTTTAAGTACCGCGTTACACATTTTTATTTCTTTTTTTACCTCCTACGGTACAAATAGATATGAAAAAAGTGTACCAGAGCATCGGAATGTTGTTATCGGAAACTCTGACCAGAACTGACCCTGAATAGTGAAACCCTAATTACAACATCGAAACAAGTCGTGAAGTTCATTAATCACCTCTGATGAAAAACAGAGTTAGTTGCAATTGTGTAAGTATAGGGGCCTTGACAGGGTCTCCAAAAGGGACAAAGGACATCTGAATATTTCTGTCATTTCCCTTGTTTTGATAGATGTCCAGATTATAAAAGTTTTGATAGATGTCCAGATTATAAAAGAATCATACAACTAGCTCATCGTATTTCCCCCAAAAAAATATAAAAAAGCTAGACTATCCTTCGAAGTAATTAAATTGACTGTCCCCTACGGACCCTGTTGGCGTTTTCAACTGATTTGGAGTTTCTTTCATTTGAGAAGTTGAAGCAGATAGAATACATATGTACATTAGAAATGTAAGTAATAGAATAATAATCCATAATGACTTCCTTTTTAACGTAAAACATTTATAAAATTCGGTAAAGGAAATTGAATAGTTGATTTCAATTTAAATGATTAAGTAATAGTTTGGTAACTCATTTGGTGTAATAACAACAACAGACATTCCATGCGATAACATTTCATTGTATGTGATGACAGCCTTATCAGGGTGTAATTTGTCATACTTTGTAACCTTTTCGTCTGATGGTTTCACATGTTTCTGTTCCATGGCTGTTTTCGGCCGTTATTTTGGTACAGAAAGATACAAAAGCGACGGGTTGATTTTATTTCTGCTTTCATATCTTTGTGTACCATGGTACACTTTTACATGGTACACAAAGATTTGAATTTCAATATATTTGTGTACCATATAAAAGTGTACCATGGTACAAAAAGATATGAAAATTCACATCTTTTTGCCAGATTCTTGTCAGCCATCGTAGTTGTGCACCATCTAATCTTAAACATACAGTTTTATGTGACAGACATTTTCATGAACTCATCTGATCCAATAAATATCAACAAGACCTTCTGGGCAAACAGTCCACATTTATGCCGGGGCACGCATGTTGAAAACGGTATGATATTCATGATGCTGATATGTCAATACAAACTGCTGAAACACGAAACATAACATACTCACCAGATAGCCTTGCGTAGCCAAATAAAGATTTTGGAACTGGTAAATTACTTAAATAATTCGGCAAATACACCGTGATTATGTTCGAAACGACCTCCATCGTGCAAGCAGTAACAACTTCCGGTAAATCTAAACAATTATACTGGACGGGATTATATTTTCCGGAAATATATACTATTCATCATCAAAATTATGAACACATTTTATTGCATTCTCAAATATTGAAATAATAAACAAAGACTTAAAACCCAGTAAATATGTCTCTGCAGCTAACAACTTTAAAGTGCTCATAATGACCCCATTCCAGAGATGTACAACAGTTAATACATACGTCTCTGCCCATACGCATGGCATGACGGCACGCGTACGCGTTATATAAATACAAACCAAGATCGTGTCTGTTATCGTTTCTTAGAAAGGTTATATTCCCTCCCTTAACTCGAACTCGAAAGTACCGAGAGAAATTGATAGAACCCACGAAAACTTAGGAAAGATCCGTAGGTGGATCCAGAGATTTTGAGTCTTAGGCGGAAACCCCCAACATATTAATTTTCTTTAAGCTTACCACTTATTTTTACTTCGTATAGATTGGTGTTTGGATTTGCAACAGAGAAAAAAAGATCCTTTAAGTTGATTTCAATCTTCCTGACACCAAATGATTATGAAGGCAATCAATGGAACTGAAATCAGGTGATAGGCGGTTCCATATATATAATAACAATAACAATATCTTATTCCGTAAGTAGCTACATGTAGGTAATTTACAATGTTTATCTCTATAATTTACGATTTAGCCTTACCTGGGATAGTTTCCAATAGAGTCCCCTAAAGGTATAAATGTAATATAAATGATTATTATCATTAAATATGTGAAGGAAAATTGTTGGTACTATGTTTTGCAAAATGGAACTAGGAAATCATTTTGATGTGATGTCGGGTTAAGCATTTGGAGGATGATTCACGTCTTCCTTACTGATATATGATCGTTAATAATATGGTAGAGCGGGCCTCTGAGAAGGGAGTGCCAATTGCAACGTTAATTTATCACCAACTCTCGAGGTTTTCTGTAGAATAACACAATACATCTCCAGCACACACGCAGGCATACACACATAGGGAGATATTAGCCAGGTGGCATGGGACTAGTAGTTAGCGCCTGATATGGCAGCTCCTGCGAATTCCTCAAACATTGTATATCCTAATTGTATTAATTGTATATCTATGTACTGTAAAGCGCTTTAGAGTGGCTTATGTTAGCTAGATAGGGCGCTATATCAAATGTTGTATATTATTATTATTATAATAAATATTTGTTGGAGACAAAGCGTGCTGCTCTACCTTGCATCATCTCTATCTAATCTGTGTCAGTGTTGGAATGCGAGCCACAGACAGAACAATCATGCTCGTAAAAATGGTATTACAGGAAAGATATATGTGTGTATGCTGTCAATTTTAAGTTTTAGATCATATTTTGATGTATTATAATGCCGACTTTGATTTAGAGGATATGTTTAAAATATAAGTTCCCCAGCTTGTAGGTTTGATAGTAAAATGACTCCAAGGTAACATGATGGAGTTCTTTACCATGAAGCTAGTATGGATGGTGGGCAATATTTCAGTTATTAATTACGGAGAAACTGTATACTAGTCAACAGATGACATTAGAAGCAGAAACTATGAATTAGTTTGAACATTTATCGGAATAAAAGTCTTCTCATATCTTCTCTCCAAATGAAAAAAAAAATCGGGATAAAAGACGTATCTCATCCATCGTTCCATTTTCACATTCAGTATCGGGATACTTAGAGGTTATCATATGACCGTATCTACATCAAGCCCTTCACATCCATATCAGCCCGAGGAGCTTTACCACCGTTTACGCAGTATCGGATGTACTTTTCATTTCTTTCCATTTTGAGACACACCACATACTTATGGTGCAGTGTTAGAATTGATGACACAAAAGTGTAGAGTAAGATTTTCGGGACTGTATGGTGTTGAGAGTAAGATTTTCGGGACTGTATGGTGTTGAGAGTAAACTTTTCGGGACTGTATGGTGTTGAGAGTAAGATTTTCGAGACTGTATGGTGTTGAGAAACAGATGAAAATTTGGCTGGAGATGGGAATGATTGGACACATGATATGGAATGGTACACCTAAAACACCAAGGACAACGTTTGCCCAAAATAATATTCATGTCGTGGATCCTGAGACTGTCAATATCTTAGAGAACAGGGGGTTGAGCTTAAGGAATGGCGAGTAGCCAGTGAGCTTAACCTGGGCACTTGCATCCTCGATTTCAAGGAGTTACGCCCACTTTCGCTCTCTATACCCCTGGAATATGACTAGCAAAATCGAAGGCTCAATGTGCAGTACCTTGTGGATGAGACGAGAAGACTAGTTTGGTCCTTTGATGTACATCAAAAGAATCTCGCGGTCGCGCAACGGTAAAAATTGACAGGCATTGAAGTCGGGCAATCTTCAAAGAAAAGTATCAGCCTATTGTGATTGGCCAGTTGTTTTTTTACCTGACACCAATCAAATAGCTGGCCGCGTGCCTTCAATTTTGCTATGATATATCCCAGGGGTGCAGAGAGCGAAAGTGGGCGTAGCCCCTGGATACCGAGGATGGGACACTTGTGGTAACAGAGCCAACACGTGTTACAGACAACACGTACATCAACCATGCTGGATCCTTTCCGAGTAAACAATCCTTCACTCGTCAACATGTTAAAATACGCTTACATAGAACCAGTGTCCATGAAATGATATCAATTAACACCAGATACTGTCGTCTGTCTCGAGCTTAATCCCAATTTCATGTTCTAATCGACAGTATAGCCACTCAAAAACATCAACCCAACGAAATCACGAAAAATAAACAGTATGAAAATTAAGTATGAATGGAATTCAGAAAAAAATGCAACCTTAAACAGATGACTGACTTTGACCATAGATATGGATTGGATTCAGGAATCGTATCTATTGGTCAATGGAACGAGCAGAGGAGCTAACGCACATATATATAAATCAACGTCTTCAACAGAATCCACACAATTAAGTATGAATTGTTACTGTTGACAGCGCGATAGAACAGAATTTTAAAAAGGAACAGACGTTAAGAATCAAATTGAAAACCACAATCACAAACCTTCATCAATAGCGTAAAGTCTTGAAACATGTTGTACCCAACATCTTACAACGCCTTAAAACAAATTTATTATGTAATGAGCAATCAACACCGATTTCGATTAAAGGAAAGTATTACCTCTATTGCGGACCTACGCAAAACATTCGATATAGTGCGACACAGACGATTAATATTAAACACTACTCTGTGGTTAGAGGTACCCCGAACACCTGGATCAGGCTAGTTCTAACACTAAAACAACAGAAACCTCAAACATGGTCAATGGTGATTTCGGAATCCCTCTAGAGGACAGTCCCCCGTCCGTTATTGTTTTGTTTTTTTAAACGATCAACCTACCGTCCATCATCGAATTGAATGTAAATATCATAGCATAGTGCTCTTGCTTTAAAACATCGACAAACTGGCTACACGGAAATGGGGAAAAAACTTTTGAAGGTCATGTTTTATTTAAACAAATCATGAACCTCTTTCTAGTTAAGTTATGTCTCTGTCTAGACTTCTTCCTCCAAGTATTAAGTTGATACATGCACTGACGTATACACAAACGTATTCTGTTAACTATTGTATGTTATTGGGACAAGGTTATTTATGTGGGCTAGCTTGTTATCAAATCCGTTTATATTTGTTTAAACTAAATTAAAGTATACTCTGGCTATTTTGTTATTAAATCGAACGTTTAGGAACATTCAAAAGACCCATTCGCTACATTCATTGAAATGCGTATTTCTTAATAGAGTCGTTATTTGTCAATGTTTATTTAATGTCCATCAATAAGCATGACTGTAAAACAATGGATGTCGGAAGTAGACTCTTTGTGAAGCGAACATACTTCCTGATTTTTTTTATCGTTTTGTTGTTGTTAGTGTAACGTTTGAACAGGAAGGATACACGTGCTCAATATCACGTGTACGCACAAATGAATAGTCAAAAGACCGCCTGTGATAAATCAGTAACTTGAGTGCAGTGAAATGGGTCCAAGTTCCAGTGTGGATACCATGTGGATACCATGAATGATTACATCAGCTGACTAGCGTTTGTGTACTCCTGTCGGGAACCTCACAGAAATCAAAACTTATTTGCTTCCCTATTGCATCAGTTTAGATTGTTATCTCCCTTTTCTTAGGATAGTCCTAGTGTGACCTCACCATCACCGAACCGAAGGTCGTCTAGAGGTTGTTATAGATGTTTATGGTACAGTACTTTCCTGTTGATTTTTCGGTGTTGCAAAGACGAAAAACTAAAAATACTTACAGCAGGGAGGCACACCACAGGGAATGCAATCTGATTAAAACCAGATCGTTTATACCACTCCGATACTCGACGTTACAGTAAAATAAAAATAAAGTAGAGTAAAAGATCTGGTTATGACGCTGGATGACCGACACCACACTACATTCTACACAATTAAATGTCTGCTTACTGGCGTATGTGAATATGTATTGGAGTAGTTTGGTATGGAATAGCTTTATCATTTCATATAGCTGATACATTTGTATATCGCGTCCTTTCGGTGTTTTTATCCGTATTTTCCTGTCCATTTTTAATTCCTCGTCTTTTTAGGCCTCACCATTTTGTATTTTCTCCTGTGCCACCATTGAAATTTCCTTTTACGATTTTAATGTTTCTCTTTACAATACAATTTATTTCTCTGTATAATGTATTTAATTATTTACGTTTGCCAATATATTGTCAAAATTTGTATACGTTTTTACTGGGTTTTTTTTTTCCTTGCTTACTTATTTGTTCATTGTGGTTCTACTTATTGTCTTTATTTTAACATTTTGATTTGGTTATTTAAAAGGAATTCTTTGTCGTGCGGATGAGACCTGATATGTTCATTTGGACACGTGATAAACACCGTTGTACACTTGCCATTTACCAGCAGATTCTAGTTCCTTCAGCATTCCTTCTTTTCTGACTTAACGTCTTCCATAGGTTATATGAAGGCGTTTTCCACTTATGTTGGGGTCTGTCAATGCCCATATTTTAAACGTGCTGTGATACTTGTTGGGGTCTGTCAATGCCCAAATATTTAAAAGTGCTGTGATTCTAGAATGCCAAACGTAGCGTTTTTAACAAGTAATAAACGAGTGTCAAAATATTACCCAATTACCCATACTGTCGTAGAATTTTGGAAAAAGAAATTGTTCACTGTGGTGAATGTTCCTCTTTTTTATAACTTCTCAGATGTGATAAACACAATTTGGTTTTATGGCTTTAAAAATATTCTGTAACATATCTCACGTGCTATTCAGATTATGTCTGACGCTTCGACAAAAGCACGGCTGTACATGCTGCTGTGTACAATGCGTTTTAAAAGCGTTGATAGAGACCTAAGTGGTTGTTGAATTAAGTACACGCTCGTGGTGTCAGTGGTAGAATGTAACATTGGTTCACCACTTTTCTCAGTAACAGACAGGGAACAGGGACTGATAATTTGGTGTCATCCGGCCGGTGTGATGCTTTATCTGGTGTCCTCGGAGATCCGTACTTGGGCCTAAGCAATTTCACTTCCTTATTAATGTTTAATAATAATAATAATAATATTTATTTAGGTAAAAGGCAAATAATACACGTGTATCACATTTTGCAGATTGGACATAAATATATATTATCACAGAATGAGATGTTATTTGTAAGTTATTTATGCCATAAAACTAGTAATCAGTCAGGTGTTAAAACTGGATTGGATTAGATTAATGTAGGCCTTTACCTGGGATGACCCATAAAGCCACATTGTGGCTTAATTCCAATGGGGTCCCTTAGATCTAAATAAATCAATTCAATTCATAAAATAGTTACATAATTATATAGTATATTGATAATTTGATAAGACTCTAAGACACTTCTTTTTTAAAACAAAATAGATATAAAATGTTCCATGTGCCAAGGGCTTTAATCAATAAAATAATGTTGATAATTGAATAATATAAAATATAAAGAGATTAACAATATATTGGAACTTTAAAAATCAAAGATATATAGTATCAACTTAAAATGTTACTTGCAAAAGGGCTGGTGATTGGGCCAATTCCTACCGACCAAACTCTCAGACATTAACGTACATTAATATAATTGATTGACATGTACTGGTATATAACATATACTAATAAAAATCTGATACAAACGATACATTTAAACCAATTGAATTTTATAAAAATCTGTTTGCTTTTTGCAGGAGAGGGATGTTGGTGGTTTGGCCAGTCCCTACCGACCAAACACTCTTACTGCATAAAGTAATAGTAATTGACATGATGAGTCGATGACACAACATCAAAAATGGAATGTAAATAGGATTTAAGTCAAATGTATAATGATTTTGAATAATTCAATTGACAAATTTGAACAAGTTTTATTTAAATTAATTGCTAATTGCAGAAGAGGGCTGGTGATTGGGCCAATCCCTACCGACCAAACTCTCAGACTGCATATCAAGTAACAATATAGTATACTTTAATAACAGTGTTTATGATAATACTTGAATTAAGAAGTAAAAGAGTATATCACTGAAGTCTCACTATTACCCTTTCACAAAATCACATTTTTGTTCCGATCTAAACTTTGATGTCAAATGTTGTTTGACCAGAATTTTGAATCTGTGTAAGTTGTTGGTTGCCTTAATATTATCTGGTAATGCATTCCAGTCCTTTATTGCATTGTAAGAGAAATATATGGACTCTACCCCACTTATATTGTGCATATAAAAGTTATATTGGCTTGATCTTGTACACCTCTTGTTGTTCCTTTCAAAACTTTCCTTCACATAAGCTGGACATTTTTCATGATTTTTTTAAAAACATGGTTTAATTTCAGTTGAGCCACTCTATTACTTACATTCAACATATTTAATTTTCCCAGTTCTGCAAAAGTTATTCTTTTCCTCGTTCTAAATCCAAAATAAAACGAACAACCCTGTTTTGTGTAACTTGGAGTTTGTGTTTGAGATTTTTGGAGATACCCTCGTACCAAGATGAGCAAGCATAGTCAAACTGACATTGGATAAGTGCCGAGCAGAGTGTTTTTCTTGATGACAGAGATAGACTTTCCTGGTTCGGTATAAAAAAATTAGTCTCTGATTAAATTTCTGTATTGCATTGTTCACAGTATGTTGTCCTGAAAGAAACTGGTCTAAGATTACACCCAAATATTTTACATGTGGTTTGGATTCGATAGTTTGTCCATTGCATTTAATATGTCCAATTTCTCAATTTTCCTTTAGGACCAAATAGGACACTTTCTGTTTTCCCAAGATGAAGTGAAAGTTTATTATCTAAAGCCAATCGTGGCATTCCAGTGTTTTGGATAATTTATCTGATATTATGTTTGGATCTTTGTGTGAAAAATTATAGCACTATCATCTGCATATAGTAGGAGTTTGCACTCAGAGTCGATACTTATCTGCATGTTATTAACATACGTTAAAAACAAAAGTGGGCCTAGTATACTACCCTGGGGTGCCCCACAGTTTACATCTTCAGTGTTGGATTTTTTTTGTTAACAAGTTGTTTTCTTTGTATGAGATAGGATTTAAACCATGCAATAGACTCAATACACATACATTTACGTTTTTCACAAAGAATATCATGGTCAACTGTATCGAATGCTATTTGTAAATCTAAAAGTACCATGCCTGTAAAAAGTCCTTTAGCTGTCTAGGATTTAATATAGTCTACAAGATGGATGAGGCAAGAATCAGTTGAATGAGATGTTCTAAATCCTGATTGTTGTTCATAAAATAAATTATTCGATATAAGGTATGTTTCCAGTTGTTTGTATACTTCCCTCTCAAGTATTTTTGATACAATGCAGAGAATACTGACTGGTCGATAGTTTTCAGCCTTTAATCTGTCACATTTTTTAATAGAGGTTTTACTTTTGCCATTTTCGTTCCTTCAGGGACTTTACGAAGATATATAGATGTATTTATCAGAAAAGTAATTGGAATTTTCAAGTAAAAGCCTCTAAATAAATAAGAAGTAGTATTGTAAATTCACTTACAGCTTGGCAGTCTTTCCACAAGTTTGGCAGCAATAGTTGTAAAATATAATTTAAAATAATTGGCAATAGAAAATCCATCATGGCAATTTTTGTTGTTTATGTTAAGTACGACTTTTGCACCGGATTTTGTATCATTTTCATAGCCAAGTTTTTTAAATCTTTTCCATTGATTTTTTCAGATATTTGTTCATTAAAATAATCAACCTTGGCTATTTTACAATTCCTTTGAACTGAATTTCTGTGATATCAGAGAGTTTTGTAATCTTCAGTTTTACCTGAGTTTTTAAAAATAAATCTCTCTGCTTGATAAGATCCAAAATGTCAGCAGACATCCATGGTTCTGTTCTTTGTTTAATGCGAACCTCTTTTACTTGGGCAACTTCATCAAGTACCATCATAAATATATTACAAAAAGTGGTCCATGACTCGTTTACATCTTTACCAGTAAACAAATCTTCCCAGTTGGATTAAGCTAATTCAAAATTCCTTCAATTTTGAACATTTCTACTTATTATACTACGATTTGTAAAATTACATGTATATCATTATGGATTATGAACAACTATTAAAAGACATTGGCATTGTTTATTACTGATGCTACATGTAACCGTGGCGTGAATATTTTAGTTCCATTTCCCCCTTGACACCCACGGCAATTTTATATTCATACTTCGTAGGTTGTGAACTTTTAAATAAAGTAAGATGTGCGAAATAAAATGGGGTTTTGTGTACATCACAATCTCCGTCTGCCCATTCACATAAAGAAATGTTGCAGCTGAAAGATTAATCTAACCACTTCTGGAACATTTTTGTGAAACCCTTACAAGAGCATCTGTGATGTGTAAAATAGAACTAAGATGCCATTTCGTCAGCACTACATGTAACTCATATACAAACCGTTATCACAAATCGACAATCTTTTAAAAAAATATCATACCAAAGGACATTAGAAAGGAACCGAGGAAAGAGCAAAATAATAGGGACCGAAAAGACGCCAAAACAACGTAAACAGAGGAGATACAAAAACAGCAAGAGCCTAGAAAACGCCAACACAAAAGGAACTGGTGAGATACCAAAGAAGAAGAATCGCAGAAACAGCAGAACAATAGGAACTGAGGCGAAAAAATGCAGGAACCGAAACAAAATCCCACAACGACGAAATTTACATGGTTCCAATCATAATGTGCCAATGCTATACGCTTAGTCCCTGCGACCGGCTTTGAAATGAACACAAGTAGTCTTTGAGAGTATCAAGCACCACGTACGTGGTACAAAAGATGATACAGGAAATCTATATTTATGGTAGTCGCCCACCTTACTCTCTTTCTCACCTGTCTTCCAGCATAGTCTCCCTTGTAAGTCCGGTGAAAAATCGACTCACACTTTCTATTGTAAACAAAAATGTAGGTACATAGTGTGTGTGTTGATACGATCAAAAGAGAGGAAGATAGGTGAAACTAAAGATTACTGAGGTTTAATTCGGAAAATAACTATGGCATTAAAGTTGATCACGAAGGTAAGTTAACAGAGGAATATTGTTTATTGTTTGGCACAGGTGACCGCATAATTATGAACAACAAACATGCCACAACGTTGGTATATACACACTAGTGTCTTCTACGCACCTACCGGTACAGGTAAATTTAGCACTGAGCACAGGGCCAGCTGTTTGGGTTTAAGTCAATAACCATATAACTGACTCCATTTAAATAGACAACAGTTTATGTTATTATGTCGGTATGTAATAAAACATTTGTTAACATTGATGCTTTAATGGTCATTTACAAGAAATACGCTTACACGTGTACAGTATAATATGTCTGACAGGAGCACTCGTCATACGGATGTAGTATAACTAGAACCAGACGGGGACATTGCATCTGTTGTCTGCGTATGTAATGTAATACTATCTCTGTCCAACAACATGCACTTCCAGGAATGTCTAAATGGCCATATCATCGTTAATACTTACTTTTGTGGTTTTAACCACTATGTTCATATAGAGACTAAAAGCTAATAACTATATTGGAGATCGGTTTCATACAGCCGTAAAGTATAGGGTTTCTGTCCACAGTAAGGAAAGGTTTAATAAAGATCTTTGAATATACCAGGGCTCGCTGGATCTAGTTCCCAAATCATCATAGTCAATGGACATCCTCAGCTTCTGCCTGATGTAGGTATACATGTTATTGCCCTAAACTCGTGCTTGAACTTAACTGTCATGCTATGCCAAATGCCATGTAGACACTAATACTTCAGCCATGTGATACATGTACCATTTACTAACGTCTAGATTTGCTCCAATTCCAGCAACTACAAGATTTGTACCGAGACATTCCTGACGAGTACGGTCTGTCGGCTGGTCCACTGGAGGATGACAGTGAGTACTCAATTTAAATTCACAAATAGTCTACTAACAAAGCGCCATTGATTGCTGGCATTTAATAGTAGCTGTGATTTACCTTTGTCGCTCAGATATGTATATTTCTGGTGAACATATACAAATCTAGGCTTTTCCTTGGACCGGTCCATTCACACTGGTGAACAGTGGAAGTTTAGAACAGTCCCAGTTAGAACGAAAATACAATAAATCCAATGTTTAAGGAGTTCCAAATCAAATGCAGAAATATAGCAAACAGGGAAAAGAGTCTATACATGTAAAAACTTTCTTGAATGTTATAAATGAAATAGGATGCATTCTAATAGTAGATGTTCATATAAACTGTATCAGAAAATCATCTCCAAGGTTACTGCCAACAAAGGGAAATGATAACACCAGCAGAGTTAGCAACTTCAAATATGTAGTGAAGAACCAATCAAAACAAAAAGTGCTGCCCACCAAACAAAAGTAAACATTTTAGAGCTCCCTGTGTCCATTTCGTCCCTTTAAGACCGATCAATGGTACTAAGAGCCAAAATAATATTCTGAAACTTGTGTTGTGTGTGTCATCGAAACTGCTGACATCGGATATATCGAGGTCCACTTCACCTGTGAAGCCTATGTAGTTCTAGGATGTCTGCTGCCCAATGTCCATTATCATTATTCGGATACTTTGATCTTTTTCCTTGTTACTAGTAGGTTTAAAGTTTTCATATTTTTCTACGCACGTCCCTTTGCTAGACAGGTATAAAATGCGATCCCTTGTATTTTCTGGATATTTTTTTTATATATATGGTCATGAAGTTTTCATTTAAATATACAAAAACTGGTATATTCTGTAAGCATTGAAGTTTCAGCTGGGTTTTTTTCCTGGGTCCTGAACACGTTTTTATTGTTACATCACTAAATAAGGTACATATATACCTGATTCTTTCCTTTCATTTTTGTCATTCCTTTGCTGGTTTTCTTCTGTTCCAGTCGTGGTTTTGAGTTCAGATTTCAATATTACATGTATTCACATTTAATATAGATTTTTGATATTCTTAGATTTTTTTTTATTTTTTTTTTATTAAAGTATGTAATCGTTTTTGCAGTGTTACACTGGCAAGCAGCCATACCAGGCCCGGTAAGTAGTAATAGAACCTGAAACAGGTAAGGTCAGTCAGTGGTATAACATGGTTAGAAAGAGGATATATGATTGTACTGTATACGTACAATGTTTATTGCAATATACTTGAAACATTGGACCATTCTCATAATGGCAGATGTATTAAAGTTAGCATCAATTGTGTCTAGATCTACACTATGCTTATAATGCTAAGCACACAACGACTATGAAAAAACGTATGCTTAAAAAATAATTTAAGTTCGTGTGTAAATTGAATAAGAAATAAAATGAAGAACAGTAATTGTATGAAAATATACAATCATAGAATAAAGTGAACAATAACGTTGTAGGTATAGTGTCCGGATATGTGTGGAACCTCTCTGTAACGGAATGCCAGTTATTTTAAAGATTAATATGCTATGTTTAAAGGAAAATAGCCCGTATGCCGGAGGAACGTTTTGTTTGCAAATCACATTTACAACAGATTATCCCTTCAAAGCACCTAAGGTGAGTAGGACATTCTTCTGGTCTTGTACGTATTCAAGGGTCTGCGTGTAACTCTTTGTTCATATTTTTTCATTTTTATGATTTACGTTACGTTTTTCCCCACACTTGAATATTCTTTGGTTGGACACATTCACAGATCCGCATTTCAACCAAATGATACTGTCTAAATACAAGTGAGGTTATTAAATCCTTTACCGTAAGCTGTCATTGTTGTAGATATTCTCTTATCTATAAATGTATTGAAATCCTCTGTAATGTAGAGGGTTATTCTAAAAAAGAAAATAAATGATTCTATTATTATCATAAATATTCATTCAGACGTAAATGCAGCTTCATCCTAGCCCCAAGGTACTAACCCCCTGCAATGTAAGCCTTCAGAGACTTTGGTTAAATCGTGTCATATGTTCTTTTTTCGACTAGATTAAGTTCGGTACAGAGATATTTCATCCAAACGTGGAGAAAGATGGCAAGATTTGTATGGATTTTCTACAAACGGAGTGGAAGCCGTCGTTTTCCATTGGTTACAGTAAGTAGTTTAGACTGATACGCCAGTTTCTCTGCAAAGTAATGCACCACAACGGCAGTACATATGGTTAAGGAGACACTAAAACAAAATATATCGTCTAAAATCCTCCGACAAAACAATCGTATACTGAACTAGACGTTCCTGTACTACAACTAACATCCATCATAATGTACCCCAGGCTTCCGGGCAAGTATGTGGATCACCTCACAGGGACCTGAGAATTTGTTATGTCATTTTCAACCCCCCCCCCCCCCCCAAATAAAATGTAAAAAAAAACCACCTTAGTTTAGGTCCAAAAATATAGCTGTAACAAATTCTCAGGTTCCTGTGGGTCACCCTTGATCGGAGACACAATACAAGTCTAGGATTACACATTTAGCAGATATTGGCACATCATAGTTTGAAATCATATAATGTTTTACCCCTAATAATTATACTAAACTATTCCGACTTTTTGGGCGTCTCGCTATTCAACTCTTGCTAGCCTGTTATCAGGATAATGTGACCGGTAGTGGTGCCAGACTGCTAATCTGCACAAAAGATCAGAAAATCCGCATTCAACACAAAGTTGTTGTTCTTGCCGTCATTCTGTGAAGAAATGTAGTCCATCATTTATTTTTTGTTCAATATCAATCGTGTTTTTAGTAGTGTAGCTTTCGTGCTTCCGCTGAATGCCGTGTAATCCAACTACTGTACATAATTAAGTATCCAAATACTACAGAGAGATATAACTATAATGAGGTATAAACTACGGGAAGTATCTATTATTTTTATTCAAGAATCTACTGGAAATTAACCTATGCCCATTTTAGCAAACGAGTTTGGAATAAACTTCCTTCGAATAAGTCGTGTGTATATAACATTGCTTACGTCACGTTGTACGGTTTATGTCCTGCAGTACAAGATGAACATGTGCATTTCAAAACTAAAGCCAAACCAAGGAAAATAGTACAGGTCTTATCGAATGAAAATCAATGAAGTGGCGTATCTTTCTTGTTTCTAATACATATTTACTGTTGAAATGTGAGCACACAACTGTAGCAATGTTTGTACTTTTTGTTATATATATACATGTATATGTATTCCTTTATTACACATACCTTTGTGTCTGTAGTCCTAATGGCTATCTCGTCCCTGATGCACACACCAAACATAGAGAACCCTGCTGACCAGGATGTCGCCAACATGTACCTCAATAACCAGGAGGAGTTCGTGAGGATAGCCACGGAGTGGACACGCACATACGCGATCAGGACGACACAGGAATGCCGGCCAGTTACAGTACCAGCAGTTACTGAGGCGTTGTAACGTCCTCAGACAATGTTATTAAATCAGTTTTATGATGGATAAAATTCAGGCGGATTTATCGTCTTTTTATGGTCGCTTTTAAGATTATATTACACAATCTTTTTAACATTTTGCTCAATCGGATGTTTTCTTTTATCATTAACCTTTATATTTACAGAACGTTATTTTTGGTGTACAGTGCATTTCAGATGAGGCAAATACACGACTTCACTTATCGATGTGATACAATGTGGAGTCTGTTCTGTGTGTAAGCAATGTTGGTTTCCATATGTGTAATAACTAAGAAATAACGACCAAGACGGCAACGTACTTTTAACTTTTTACAACTTACTTTTTATATTGATTTGTAATAAAACTGCTAAATCCAACCAGTTTAAGTACGGTATCAACATAATGTAAAGTGTTGAGGATATAAAACCTACAATTTTTATGATAAAAAGATAACTGCTATGAAGGTGTTATTGTGTGACGTAGGAGTATGTGTGTAGTTATAAAGCTGAACACGGTTGTTTATCTGGAGTGTTAGCATTATTGGATCTTTACCATTGTCCATTAACACTAAAAGTTCGTTAGAGTCAATATCTACTAATAACTGGTCAGATTCAGTCAAATCAAGCAAGTAAAAACGTATGAATTTTGTCGACAAAACAGGTTTGTTGCTACATTAACTCTTCATATTGATAAACAACGAATTTTGCCAAAGTCGCGTGGTTTCAAACAAAACACTTGTTGAATAAATAACAATGGCTCGCGCCGCATGTGGTTCTTACATCAGTTCATACTCTAAACATCTAACCATGCAATGTTTACAATAAAGTTTTCATGTTAAATTGTCACATGTTAAACCGAAACTCAACAGTAACGGAAAAGGGACCTGATTTTGAAAGCAGAACAGTTGAAGAATCAAAATGAGATGACCTATGATTCATTCCCAACCGGGATTGCTGTAACTTTGTAAATTAACTACATGTTCATTCCGTGTGTACTTGAGACACTATGGGAGACAAATATACAATATATGGTATGGTATTCAAGAGGCATCCATTTAATCATTCACGTTATTTATATATAAATGGGAAAGTAATGGCTGTAAAATATATATGTAGTCTATCTGGTGCCCACTAGGTCAGTTTATTTTTATTAATGTTTTATTTATTTATTCTTTCGATAGATTATTATTTTACGTTTATGCTTACAAGTCATGAAGTTCTTGTTTATATCAAGTCATTATGTGATATTTTTAGTATACTTATATTGATCTATATAGACGGCTTCTGTCAGTATTATTCCTTTTAGTGTAAACAGTATTTACTTTTCAAAATGACGCTTTAATTATTACATAAATTACGTGATGGATCAGAGGATTTAAGAAACATGTAAATCTGCCTCGTCAAAATTTTAATTGAACTTTACATGTATACGTAGCTTCTACCAGGTTTCATCTTCCTTATTTTTACTATTACTTTGTAATTTATTTAACGTTTAATTGACGCGGAATTGCTTTGTAGGTTTTTGTATAAATGTTTATTACTACAATATGTGTATACTACCTTATGGTTTCATATATAAAGATATATAACGTTATGTACTGTACTTATATGCATACATATGCTAGTTATATATTGTATAATAACACAAATGTATTTTGATATTAATAAACAGTTTACTCCATATATATTGTATAATAAAAGTCAAAAGATTGAAGATATGTTCCGAAACATACATCGAAATACAAAACATGGGAAATGTGCCTGTAAAAACAGATACTTATTTTAAGATTAGTACTTAATTTGAACCCTGCCAAATGAATTCCAGCTTAAAGGTTAAGACCAACCTAGGGAACAAAAAGTGAACTAGCAAAGTCAGACACCATGCATGTGAGGTCAAATAATCGCTAGAACGACGAAAGTCTAATTAAACCATTGTAAGACGACGGATCCAAAAATAGAAAGCATCCAAACCTAGGAAATAAACTCTTAAACCACGGACTTAGATAACTAATCTAATTCCGTGCTTAAACTGACCAGATTTTGGTGTTTGCATCGCCGTTATGATGTTGTGCCGAGTGACTTTATTTATGGTGTGGACCAATGTCACGTGATCTTATACGCCGAAATACGTTTGTGATCCATCATTGATATGCTACATACAATCAAGTATGCGAGGGTTATAAACTATTCAAAACAAGAACAAAACATGGAATTGATCAGGGCGCTTCCTGTATTGCATTTTGTGTTGTATGATAATAACAGGCTAGCATGTATAAATCTGTGATGTATCCGAGAGTATTTATTTTTATAATCACATGTTTTGTTATTTTGCATATTAATGTACTTATATTCAGAATGTTACTTGTTGTTACTATTATTTCTCCTACAAATAAACATACTTAAAACATGAATAATTTGTGTTGCATTGATTAACTGAAAATTAAACACTTACTAAACTTGCACGATTGTACGAGGGACTAATGGTCGAGAAGGTCCCGTTTCCTCTAGTTTGAAACACGGAAAAATAACAAAATTCACAAGTTTTGAATTACGGTCATGATATTGATAGGTCTGTAACAAGCCACTATAAAGTATTCTCAATGTTGTTTAAATGAATGATTTTGGCCTACTAAAAAATGCAAAAGCCCTTAAACTATGTACTTCTTATTCACCATGAGACCTAGTCATGTTTGGTATGTGGCATGCTTGGGTGAAGGACTAACAAATTTGTTAAAAAGAATGACCTTGACCCACTCTTAAGTATCACTGTTGTCAAATGTGCTTAAATCAAGAAGCATAGCGTCATATTTGGGGTGTCTAACTGGAAGAAATACCTTGTTCCACCTAAGTTTATAAGAGTCAAATGTGATAAAACGACTTAAATTATTGAGGCTTCAAGTCATATTTGGTATTTTATCATGGAGGACAATGACGAGATGTTCAACGTCACAAAAGTCAAATGTGTAAAAATAATTAAAAGACTTTTCAGAATACCCACAGGACTTGAGTCATACTTGGCTTACAGCCATTCCTGATTGATCGTATCCAAACTCCGAACGGTATTTTTTATTTTTTAAGTTCGGGCTGCTACCTGGTTTGTGTACGTGAAAAAAGCCGTACCCCCTCGGGTACAGCAGTGGGACTGACCCAATGTGTATACAGTACATGGTGTAGTTTGGACCAAATGCACTATATATTTTAGGGTTGAGGCTAATTTTACTATTTTCTTTGATCATAGACACTCAGTTGCCGACTAATCGGTTCGTCATGACAGAGGAACAGATTGTCGGTAAATTGTAAAACGTTATACGTTGTGCTTTTATGCATACTATTGGGAGTTCATTATTTGTACACTTAAAATTGATTGTAAATTAATTACACTTATATGATCGTAATTCAACATTTTATCACAATTATAATTGTATTTGCGAAAATATATAATTACAAGAGGCCCAATGGGCCTGGCGCATCGCTCACCTGGTATTAATCTCACAATTGTAACCTTAAAAGAGGACTAAAATAAAGCTACAGGCAAAATATCAGTGTTTTGACTTAAAGTTTAAAGTAATTCAGAAAAAATGGGCAAAGGTCATTCATTTGAACAAACTTGGTAGCCTTTCATCCCAGCCTCTCGGTTATTCAGAAGAAGTCGTTTAAAGGTTTTAAACATATTTGACCCCTGTGACCTTGAATATAAGTCAAGGTCATTTATTTGAACAAACTTGGTAGCCCTTCGTCCCAGCATGTTACTGGCCAAATATCATCACCCTAGGCCTCTCGGTTATTCAGCAGAAGCCTTTTAAAGATTTTAAACATATTTGACCCCAGTGACCTTGAATATAAATCAAGGTCATTTATTTGAACAAACTTGGTAGCCCTTTATCCCAGCATGTTTCTGGTCAAATATCATCACCCTAGGCCTCTTGGTTATTCAGAAGAAGTTGTTAAAAGATTTTAACATATTTGACCCGTGATCTTGAAAATGGTTGAAGGTCATTTATTTGAACAAACTTGGTAGCCCTTCATCCCAGCATGCTTCTGGCCAAATATCATTACCCTAGCCCTTTTGGTTACTGAGAAGAAGTTGTTTAAACTTAAAAGCTGACGACGGACGGCGGACGGAGGACAGACGCCGCTCCACAGCATTAGCTCACTTGGCCCTTCGGGCCAGGTAAGCTAACAAGTGATAGGGAATTTGAATACTTATAATCAGTTCAAGAAAATATCAAATCGATAAAGAATCCTTATACATGTGTTTGATGCATTTCGCAAAAAAGTAAAATTAGCCTCAACCCTTAAATACATAGTGCATTTGGTCAGGTCAACTGCTGTACCCGAGAGGAAACGGCTTTTGTCACGTATACAAAACATTTACCGTTCGGAGTTTGGAAACGATCAATCCGGAACGGCAGTATTGCATGATGGGATTGAGGATTATCAGACTTGCTAAAGTTTGTGTTCTCAAAGGAATAACCTCGATTTTGTTCATGATCTCTGTGGTCTAATGCAACTTCAGCTCTCGCAACAAAGATTTGTAAGGTGCAGAGTAGGGATATTTTACCCTGTTAGCTTGCTTGCTATAAAACTTAACAGGTTATTGTTTAGAGAGACAGTGTATTACCTGGATACCTTATAACTATAGACATACATTGTTACAGAAGCACGAAAAGTGATATAACATAAAACAAGTTAATTGTTTAATTCGATTTATTGCAGCATGGTATCATTACCAGAATGGGGGAGGTGAATATGAACTGGTGTACATAAGACGCATGCCAGGTATACGTACATGTAGTTGTATCTCTGTCACTGACAATGTGGCTGTACCCTGATCAACTCACAACAGTGTTGTTATACATCCGGGCACATAGACCAGCTTCTCACGGTATCCAATATGTATGCCACCTGTCTTTGCTCACCTAGCATACACAGATGGAACACACCGAATCTGAACCTTGAACACATGGAACATAATGTCTTGAAATACATGAAGATAAAAAGTATCAATTTAAAACAAAACCTGTCATACATTAGTCAGGTTAGTCAATACTCAATTCAAATCAAATCCACATACTTCTCAATCAAAATGTGTGTAAATAAAACTGTTAAAATGTATCTTTCTCATTTTGAAATCAGTTAAATTATGAGAAAGTATCTGCTTTGTTTCACTGTGGTGACAATATTTGATTCATAACTCAGTATTGCACACAAATAAACCGTTTGTTTATGAATGGTAGGCATGCGAGAGGAAGGTGAGTGAACAAATGGATATTGTATACAATGTAATAATTGATGGGTAATTGATGTAAAAACACAATGTCATTATTCAATATAATAATTACAAATGATTGATAATGTTGAATGATTAATGTAACATCAAGATATTTTCAAACAAATCTGGCATTTAATTCTCAAAAAAAATCTTTATCTGGTCCATGGAATGTAGACTTCATACACAGCAGGCAATGCTTAGAGGGGGTAGGTACGGAGCAGGGGGGTAAGAGGGGTACACTTGGAGGGGGTAGGTACGGAGCAGGGGGTAGGTACGGAGAAGGGGGGTAAAAGGGGTAGTAACGGACAGGGAGGGTGAGGGGTAGTAACGGACAGGGAGGGTGAGGGGTACACTTTGAGGGGGTAGGTAAGGAGCAGAGGGGGAGGCTTACACTTTGGTTGGTGAGGGTTAAAGGCATTCTATGGATATCTGGGGTGGTGAGGGGTACACTTGGATGGCATGAAAATATGCTGGAGGGTTGAGAACAGCAGGATTATAATATATTCCTAGTTCTTTTAGAGAGCCATGAAACAAGATCATTTAAAATATTTAGCAAAAACATATCTATAAAGTCACACGAGCTTAAACAACAATGCAATTTCCTTAATAAAAATATATTATAATCATGGGCTTTACAAAATCAATGTTTAACTTGGTAACAGTTCGTTAAGCACTTGTGCCAATATTATGTACATCTAAAGCAAAACAAATTGTTAAATATAACTGGATAAAACACATTTGATCTACAACTACAATGAATATGGCACACAAACATAACTTTCAGTGACGACCATTCACATCTAAACTTACACAAGTAAAAAATAAAAACTTCAACAGGAAACAACAACAACAGTGGAGTGCGATGGGTTTTATAATAACACACATTATTTTCCAACAAGTAGTACATACCTTCAACACTTTACATTTAGTACACACCTGTTATTTTCTTACAACTTGTACAAACCTGTTATTTTCCTACAACTAGTACACACCTGTTATTTTCCTACAACTAGTACACACCTGTTATTTTCTTCAAATTCTACACACCTGTTATATTTTACAAATAAGTAGTACACTGCCTTATGTTGCAATAAAATTGGATTTCTTGGAGCACCATTTTTCTATTTTGGTTTCTGTAATATTTCTATTTTGGTTTCTGTAATATTTCTAGATTTGTTTGTAAAATTGTACATGTAGTTAACTTACAAACCATGTTTAGTTACATTATCTACACATAGATTTTAAAGGACCTGTCACATGACAAACAACAATTTTAGGCTACAGGCAATCTCCTGTGGAAGACTTTTCTTGTAAAATATTGCTTTTCATACAGATAACCTAAAAGTTATATGTATTTTCTCATCAACTTGTCCACCTCCATTGTATACGTATCTGGATATAGAAGTTTTCTCTAGTGAACTCTAGTACAGGTTATACACTGTTTAACTACAATAGTGAACTTCAGTATAGTTCATTCAATGCTGGAAGTAGTTACACTATCTATCCGGAGTAATTGTGGCTTTAAGTCAAGTTCACTAAAGTATATTTCAACGCTAGAAGTAATTACACTGTCTATCAGGAGTTATTGTGGCCGTGGACTGTTATCAGGAGTTATTGTGGCCGAGGACTGTTATCAGGAGTTATTGTGGCCGTGGACTGTTATCAGGAGTTAATGTGGCCGTGGACTGTTATCAGGAGTAATTGTGGCCGTGGACTGTTATCGGGAGTTATTGTGGCCGTGGACTGTTATCAGAAGTTATTGTGGCCGTGGACTGTTATCAGGCGTTATTGTGGCCTTGGACTGTTATCAGGAGTTATTGTGGCCGTGGTCTGTTATCAGGAGTTAATGTGGCCGTGGACTGTTATCAGGAGTTATTGTGGCCGAGGACTGTTATCAGGAGTTATTGAGGCCGTGGACTGTTATCAGGAGTTATTGTGGCCGTGGACTGTTATCTGAAGTTATTGTGGCCGTGGACTGTTATCAGGAGTTATTGTGGCCTTGGACTGTTATCAGGAGTTATTGTGGCCGTGGACTGTTATTGTGGCCGTGGACTGTTATCTGGAGTTATTGTGGCCTTGGACTGTTATCAGGAGTTATTGTGGCCGTGGACTGTTATCAGTAGTTATTGGGGTCCTGGACAGTTATTGTGGCCGTGAACTGTTATCAGGAGTTATGGTGGCCGTGGACTGTTGTCAGGAGTTATTGTGGCTGTGGACTGTTATTGAGACTTACACTTGCTATCAGGAGTTATTGTTGCCGTGGACTGTTATTGAGAATTACACTGTCTATCAGTAGTTATTGGGGTCCTGGACAGTTATTGTGGCCGTAGACTGTTATCAGGAGATATTGTGGCCGTGGAATGTTATCTGAAGTTATTGTGGCTGTGGTCTGTTATCTGAAGTTATTGTGGCTGTGGACTGTTATTGAGACTTTCACTGTCTATCAGGGGTTATTGTGGCCGTGTACTGTTATCGAGACTGACACTGTCTATCAGGGGTTATTGTGGCCGTGGCCAGTTATTGTGGCCGTAGACTGTTATTGAGACTTACACTTGCTATCAGGAGTTATTTTTGCCGTGGACTGTTATTGAGGCTTAGACTGGCTATCAGGAGTTATTTTTGCCGTGGACTGTTATCGAGTCTTACACTGTCTATCAGGAGTTATTGTGGCCGTGGACTGTTATCGTGAGTATTTGTGGTATACAGTGGATCACTTTGAAATGCATTCACACAACATTCACTGAAATAATATGAAGACAACAACGTTATCAAAAGATCCAAAAATTCTATAAGATATGCATGGTAGGTATTAAGTACAAAATGTTCTACTGATTAAAAAATTTAGATTTTTTCTAACTTTGGTCACAACCATCTTTGTTTCTTGAATGTCTGATGAAAACCAAGGCACAAACCCATAAATACCAATTTACAAAAGTATTTATAAAATCAAGTTCTTCCTGCTTAACGTAATAACCTACAATGAAGATTACAGAGTTATGTCCCTTACACAGTGATTGAGGCATGGATTCATCTTACCTAGGTAAGTTGAAATAATTTTTGAATTGAGATTCGATTATAACTTTAGTATCTATTATTATGTTCTGCTATAACATACAGAGTTCATAGGAGTTTCAACTTCTTGCTCAAAATATACCAATAATGTACATATACAAATGGAGTACGATAATTTGTTAATCACTATTAAATTTCCTGAAGAAACTAACTTGGATATCATTCAAACTCTTCACTTGAAACTTATTTTCGTCATCATTCTAAAACATGCCAAATTTGCATATCACAATTTGGGAAACAAAGAAATTCAAACATGTAAAACAATCAAATTAAAAATATTTGGAGAGAAAATCAGGACGACTTTGAGTGCAGCAGTAGATTTAACCACATGTGAATTATAAATTGAGTATATTAAAAGGAGATCAATTTAGTTTAACATATTCTTTAAATTTAACTCTCAGTAATGAAACAGTTATTTTAAATGAGTAATATACATGTAAATTATGAGATTACTAAATAAAAATTGTCTAAAAAATTATTAAAAAAAAACATTAATAAAATTGTTAAAGATCAGCTATACTTCAGCATGGTGAAAAAAAATACCAAATGACTTTATTTCTATGATTTATAAAACAATTTCATAAGAATTCCTAAATGTTTCTAGTAATAAAATTCCCCATCTCAAGTCCTTAGTCAAAGATTTGTAGTTTTTATATTGAAACAGAGAAAAAGAAAATCATACAAGTGGGTCCCGAACACCCGTACTAACATACATATACATGGCATCACTCAAATGATAAATTTAGTCAAATAGAGATTAAAAACATTTAAACATCTCCCTGTAAATTACATTTTATACAGGTAAATCAATCAATAATGAATACTATCAGGATTGCCATTATGATCGATATAACTGCCTTTATCATCTAAGATTTCTACATTCCTTGTTGGATGGTTCCCGTGTATGACTGTTGGCGGGTACGTTGTACATGTAGCTACCAATCACTGGATAACACTGACGTAGACAGCAGCCGTGCGAGTAAATAAATCTCTCTCAAATAATGCAGTTGAGTATCACAAAAACAAGTCAATAATTTAATGTGTTCACTACATCACAACTGATGGTCACATCTTTGTTTGTATCTTGGCAAGTTCCTCTTTGATCCTCTTCTTTGCCACCGAGAATCTGAAATAAATAATTGTGCCATGCTAGTTTGTGAATATCTATACTTCTCTAAGTAATTTATACCACATCAAAATTATTCAATCTTGCAAGTGTACAATATTGCTCTTAAAAAATGTGGCGTGTACTTAAACACAGAATTTACCCAAAGATATTTTTAGACATTTTATAAGCTTTTACACCCAACACAAACAATCTGTACATGGCTAGCAAGCTATTATACCAAATTTAAGTCCTATACATAGCTAACCAGGCAACACTCCAAAACCTTATTCACAATTCTTTTCATAGCCGAAACATTTCACAACTAGAAAATATTTGTAAAACATGTTTCTCCCACAACCAATTTAAGTTTCCTTACTCTCGACTCATTGGATAAACCAGCTAGGAGTTGGTAACCATTTTTGGCTACCCACTGGTGGGTGGCACCCTAGACGTGATTTCATTGATCGATTTTCTAATCATGACGTCGAGTAACAATGTCTTGCGACGTCATCTTCAATTGTGACGTCATAGTGCATTGCAACTGTTTCCCAGACTGGAAACAAGAATGATTTGTTCCCAAGAGAAACGTTGGGTTTCCTAGATACCTTGATATAATATCTAAACGTTGTAGGAGAAACAGGTCCCCGACCTCGTTATGATTGATTCTCCTATTTATCTAACTCACGTTAGTTAGTTTTCAAATTGTTAACGACACTCAGTAAACCTCGTGTCTTCATCCAAATTGAAGATTAACTAACTTGAGTAAGATAAACACGATAACCAACCACCACTTGTTGGGGAACCTATATATATATATATATGATTATTCCCACTTTGAAGAAAATAAAGGTAAAACAAGAAGTCTAACTAAAGAAATAGAGCTAAACACAGGGACCTACATGTCATATGATCACGTAGTTCTGTTGAAGACCTAGGTATCTCCATATAAAGCTTGATTACTGCGGGACTTGTGGTATCTGAGATAGAGCTAAATGTCAAGGTGTAGTACTGACTGACGAGCAGAAAAGACCAACACGTAATGCCTCTTCACTAATGTAACAGAAGCATGATAATTGTGAAATTTACACATCACAACATATCCCAATTTTTAAGCACATATTAAGCTTACCTTGCTCGGATGTTCTGTATATCGGTCTCCTCATCTTTGATAAACTTTTGGAGGATGCCCCGCAGTACTGGCTCTGGTATAGAGAGCAGCTGTTCCACCTATGTGAACAAACAGCACGTATAACCTACACCTTCCTTCTTTGTTAACCTTTCATATCAAAAATCTGATGTTTTCTAACAAAATTTGTGCACAGTTGACCTTTAATCTCAACTTCTTCCATCAAGCTTTTCCCTTTCCTTTCTGATCCCCCAATCTTACTTCCAATCTACATAAAGTTTACTGATGTATATACTATCCGTAACTATTCAATCGCCTTACTGTTCTCTGGTAATTAGCCCACATGTTACCTACATTATGTTGTTTTTTTTCTAAACATTTTCTTCAGTTGATAGGTATGGATTATGAAAAGATTCATGTAACACAACCAAAAAGTGTTTATATGTGACGTTTCGATGACTAGTATGGTATGCACTCTGTCACCTTCATCAGATAAATGACCAGTGAAGCGTATGCACACAAAAGTGTAAAATATGTACGAGTTGTCCACAAATCGATGTCGATTCAGCTACGTTGTAAGCATATGTACAATTAGTGGTTATATATGTACCAAAATGACTCGATTCAGCTACACTTTATTTAATACTTGGTCATAGATGTGCAAGAGTCTATGAGCCCCCTCATCTCGATTCAGAACTGGCCCACTGTGGCGTATCCAGATGGCTTCCTCTATCTGCCGCTTGAACAGATTGCTCTCTCTGTCCAATACCTTGGAGTTATCCCACATGACATATTAACACTTTTTGGTTATGTTACATGAATCTTTTCATAATACAATATGTGTTGTCCTTATCTTATATATGACTATTATCTAATCCTCAGTCTGACCATCACTCTAGATCTAATCTTTACATGTTCACTTCTTTTACATGTTCACCTCTTCCTGGTCTACACATGACCTCATCACCCTTTCCTGTTCCCAAAACTGTTAACACTAAATCCCTAATCTGTTTGCATCTATTGCCACACTCTTTGTATAGCACTATTCCCATGCATTCTCTACTATACCACAACACTACAGCCCTAATCCAATTCATCCCTACCTCACCATATCACTTGTGCCCCCTTTAACCTCGCCCTGCCTATATCACCTCAGTTAGATAATGTTTGTACCTCTTGTGGTAATCGTGGTTCCGGTTTTGGCACAGGTTCCTCTACCTCCTCCTCCTCCACCACTACATCCGGCACTGCCAGCTGGACCAGGGAAGTCTTCCTGGGTGTGGCCACCTTGTCTCTCAGGAATATTTTGGCCTTTGAGACCTCATCAGGTCCTAGTGCCACCCTCTCCAGCAGCGGAATGTCAGTGTCTCTCAGAAGCTTCTCTCCTATCACAAAACATGTAACCTATTAGATGTCTGGATGCTGTGTACCTCAGAAGCTTTTCTCCCATTAGAAAACACATTTATTAAGATGTCAATGTCCCTAACAAGCTTTTGTTGGATCACAAAACACATATAAAGATGTGTCAAGTTTTTTTATAAGGCATCATAGTTAAACATCACTAAACATATAACAATGAGTACTTAAAGACAGGTATTTACTCAGATCACAGTTGACAAAAGATCCTGTATTCTTACTTACCTCCATTTTCTGTTACTAAATATAATGAGTATTCATTTGGCTGGTTCTCAATCTGAATTATAAAAAAATCAATGAAAATATTAAATCAAACTTTAAACACAATTATGCTTTCTGCTTCCTGTTCTAGATGCATGTAAGATAGAACTGAAAATGGAAATTAGGATTTAATATCCTTCACCACTTTTTAAATATAGTACATGTACCGGGTATATTAAAAGACTGCACCTTGAACTTCTCGAGCAGTGTTTTGATGACGTCTGGCGTGCTGTATGTACTGTCCACGGTCACACTGGTACAGCTGCCCATTACTGGTGTGAACACCCGTGTCTGAAACACACAAACATAGGAATACAGAAAACAGCCAGGATAACAGTACACAGACTGCTACCAGCATGAACACTCGAAACACATGTTTATACAGGACTATTCAGAGAAACAACCAAAGCCATGGCATACCACCATCAAATGCATACTTACATACACTACCTATAATGAATCAACTTCGATTTTTGAACGCACCAATCAAATTACGCTCTGATTTAAACAAAGTTCATTGTACATTTTTAAGTCAGGCTTTGCATGCTCCTTTCCATATTCCCAGGGCTCTGATGTCTCGAATGTGTTAAGATAAAATGTCAAAGCTGTGGCACTGATGGCACTGACATATAAGTTGAGAACAGAAGGTAAGATATATTACATCAAAGTTGTAGATGTGACCATTGATGGATGCCCGTTTCCACTTGTTGGGTCGCGAATCTCCCCGGTATGCCACTGTGTTGAACTTTTTTATATTCTTCCTTCGCATCACCACCCCATCAGGCGGGGTCTGTATAATGCTGTCGTCAAAACCTTTATTGGCATGGCTGGGGGATGACGGCTCCTCCAGGGACAGTTTCTGTAAGAACACAAATTGTAATCTATCTATCACAATACATAAATCTAACCTTGTCTTACTTTATTGTCAGCTTCACTTATGTAAGATGAAACATTGTTTCTTTGTCAGCTAGTATGTTGTACAGGTGGTAAGATAATACATTAATTCTTTTTCCCCCATATAACTGATGACATACAACATTCATGGGTTCTTCCATGTTTAACCACCTATTATCCATTTTGTTAAACTTTAGTTAGCCATTTACGGTAAATATTATTCTCAAATCCAATTCATCTGTAAAAGTTCTGAATTATACAGTACCTTATAGGAAATTAGATTGATGGAAATGTTATCAGGATTATAATCTTAATTACATGTACAACAATTATAGGTTATTAAACAGCCATTTCAATAGTCTTTACTAAATCATATCCCGAGACTCCCATATCAACCCCAAGGCTGATATCATACGAGTCAAGAGTTGATATAGGGATAGGATATGGAAATGACCAAACTGTAACATAAATATAATGAACGAGGAATGAAAATAGAATCTGTAATCATTTTTGGATATTCCTGGTGTACTAAGGTTCTCAGTTTGAGATAATGCTACCTGATGACTGTATTACTAAAAGGTCTGTCAAAGTTAACGGTACATACAGGCAGATTCTCCAACAGGTCGGGTACCCGTGAGGAGGTAGACCGACTCGGCTCCTCTGCAGCCTGAAGGAAGCTATTATTGTTGACATGGTTGTCTCCCTTGCCTTGGTGGACGTCCCCGGGGATGAAGCTGTGCCGCCAGTTAGTCTGGTGCAGATTGGAGGGCACATTGTCACAGCGCTGTAGCTGTATAGGTTTAAAGATACCCCAGTAGATCCTGAGGGGGCCCTGTATGACTAGGTCAGGACTGTTCTGTAACATACAACACACAATCAATGCTACAGGATCCCACAATTAATTTTGGCAAATTTCCCATTAAATTTCCCATTAAATTTACCAAATTTTTGCAAAGTATGCACCAGCAAACATGATGACAATTTCGCATACAATAGAATGTTAACAGCATTGCAAAAACAACTTTTCTCTATTAGGGTAACTACTTGTGTAGCACTACATATCATATACCTATACAGAGTAGTAATATTGCAGGTATCAAATCACTAGTTTTTTTAGTGGCCCATAATCATTCACATTTGCAAACCATACAATTATACGTACATTAAATCAGGTACTATAATACTTATATACTCTTCCTAAAACTCCTCACTCTATATATAGACATATACCATAGTAAATTATAAGAATACAGACGTTCAAAAGAGGAATTACCTGTGAGGTTTTCTTAGTTGAAAAGATTATGGTTAATTGGGACATTAAATCTGAAGTTAAATAGAGCAATTATGATTACTTTTATAACTCAGCCTCAGTGAGATACAGCTGTATTATCAGTATACCACCCATCAGGGGGCACCATTAATCTACAGCTAGGCTCAGATGTTGAACAGGAGTATTAGTTGATGTAATGGGTTCTAGCTTGTTACTGCTATCTAACTACACTTAATCAAAAATGCTGTACAGTATTTACTTGTGTATAAATTTATTACAACTAAGATTGGATGTCCCTTAAATTATAAACTTATCTAAAATGTCAGCACTGATATGCACAATATAAACGAAGATCTGTAAATGTTGACGTACATCAGATGTATGTTACCAATACATGTAATGTTGACATGTACAATTTGTAGTTATTAGGCACATAGAGTTACCAGTATGTAGTATATACATATCAATATATATTTTGTATGGAGTATAACCCTATGGATTTACCAGTATGTATACATTCTGCTNACCATTGATAATGGTCAATCCTGTTTGTAATCCCGCTGGTGACCGTTTGACCACTGGCATTCGAGGTTGTTCAATATTTGTCCACTGATATGTTCAGAAGTCAACACTGAGATCAAGATAGTACACAGCCTCCAGTGAATGACCATACACCAATCAATTATCTATGTGACTTACGGCCTATTTAGATCTAATCCTGCTAGTACCAGATTTTCTAAAATGCTCGAGATTAAAGATTACATTCAAAGACCTTTGATAATGCACTATAGAATATTACATGTTGACCATTCAGCTTTGACCCTTTGTGTTATTTGTTATGTATTTATAATTAGAGCGATAGTTTGCCCCCCCCCCATACATGGTGAGATTGTGTGTATATATAAACCTTGTAGATTTATCAGTATGTTTGTGTATACTCGGTTCCCCTGCTTGTTGTACATGTAGCAACAACAGGTTGTCTACAATATAATCTGTTTCAGCATAGTCCAGATATACCAAAAATACAGGTGCTGCGGCGTTCTTAACTCTTTTTTTATACATTTGAAAACCTGTGTACCTAATCATGTTTTAAGTGTTCAGGGCTAGGGTTTAGTATTCAAATAAAATACCTATTTGTAGATGTCCTAAACAGGAATTTGGTTATAATTACAATCAGTATTATTGAAGTTATCAGAACAGGTAGACAATGACAGCTATATACACCTGTATACAAGTGTATTACATTACAACATTACACAACTCTACTAACAAATTTAGATCTTGGACTAACAATTGCAAGACCATGCTCAGTGCACAGCGGGCATAGATATGCCCACAATACATACGGGTGATTTGAAAATAAGGGACAATACAGGTCACAACTGACTATAAGGACGCAGCATTAATTTTAGGATTGCTTTGTAAATTATGATTCTGATATTAGAATTACACGGTTTCAACAATGACCATTCTGTTTCAAATGTAATTTAAAAAAAAAAAAAAAAAAAAAAAAATGCAAAGTGTCAAACTTAGAACACTTGTGATGCTTTCTCGTAACAATGGACAAACAATAAATAAATTTCAAAATATTGAAATGAATCAACAAAAACTTACACCCAGACAAACTTTGATATGAAAAGTAACAAAGAGCCATAACTCTGTATACATTGATGCATGAGACCTGATTTCAGTATGTGATGCTCTAGCATTCCAAGAGGTCATACAAAATTTCATAATTGTAGGTCAAGGTGACAGTACTAGTGTATTTATACAGGATATGCCCATGGCAGAGAGACACATGGACTGACAGAGTATACACCTATATGTCAAGTCCCAACCAGTAGTACTATTGGGGGACTACATGTAGCTAGCCTCCTTGTATATAATTACATGTACTTACTGGATTGGCTGTAAGATATAGTTAATTAACTAGGCTGCAATTACTATGTTGGCTGTAAGATACAGTTAATTAACTAGGCTGTAATTACTATGTTGGCTATAAGATACAGTTAATTAACTAGGCTGTAATTACTGTGTTGGCTGTAAGATACATTTAATTAACTAGGCTGTAATTACTATGTTGGCTGTAAGATACTGTGTTGGCTGTAAGATACAGTTAATTAACTAGGCTGTAATTACTATGTTGGCTGTAAGATACAGTTAATTAACTAGGCTGTAATTACTATGTTGCCTGTATATGCAAGATACAGTTAATTAACTAGGCAGTAATTACTATGTTGGCTGTAAGATTATGATATTGACTGTAAGACACTGTTGATTAAATAGGCTGTAATAACTATATATGTTGGCTGTGAGATACAGTTAATTAACTAGGCTGTAATCACTATGTTGGCTGTGAGATAATGATATTGACTGTAATATACAGTTAATTAACTAGGCTGTAATTCCTGTTGGCTGAGATACAGTTAATTAACTAGGCTATAATTACTATGTTGGCTGTAATAACTGTGTTGACAGTAAGACACTGTTGATTAAATAGGCTGTAGTCACTTACTGTGTTAGCTGATAATGATTGTTTCTTCTTTCCTTCATAGAAGTTGTTAAAATCTTTTATCTTCTGCAGTAGCTCTTGTCTGTAAAGAACAAAATAATTAACTGTATTATTCAACAGCAGTGTACTGGACCTTCAGTGTAAAACCAAGGTCAGGATTCAGGAAGTTTCCAAATTTCAAAACGTATTTAGTAACACGTTATAAAGTTGAAGAATTACAAATGTCCAGTATACCTTGCGGACCATGCCAGGTAATCATCCTCTATGTCAAGTGGAGAGGCCATGTCAGGTGTACACTGACCTAGCCCCGCTAGCAATAGTGATCACCTATTACAAACACAAATGCCACTATAATCAATCTATACAGGCAATATCCGGCGAAGTCAAGGCCACATATACTTGAGTAAGTCACAGGTAATCCCTTTAGTCTGGAATGTGTGTACAATGTCACTGGTGTGTTACAATTTGGATACACATACCTCCTGTGAATTGTGTTATTTTTCTGCCTTTAAACCACAACAATGTAAACAGAGAGGTGAATCTACTGGAGTCTGTGGCTTCCTACAGTAAGTCTGTAGTATATCCTTGTGTGTCAAGTCCTTCATAAACACAGCTCACTGGAGTAGAACTTGTAACACGCCTCTTAATGTCAATGCCATACCAATTTAAATGACATATTTATATGCTATAGATGATCACAAGGTGAACTGGCCCGAATCCTCCACAGATGGTTTATATATATAGGTGATGACTGGCCATAGCGTATTCACTATAGGGTGTTGGAGCCTCCACAGATGGTCTATAGCTAGGTGGGAGTCGAGCTGTGTCTAGAGACTACTTGATTTTTTTAAACCAGCTAAATCATAATTCATAATCAATGTGTTCTGGGCAGACAAGCCTCCTTGGCACCAGCTGTATCCTAGATATGCATTTGTCCTTATCCGAGGCGGTTATCAAACCCTTCCACAAATAGACTGCCAGGTACATTGTACCAGCCTCCGTAGCCTGTTTATTTATACAACTATGGTATGGGGAATATGGCAGCTGTCCCGAACGGTTAGCAGCACACTGTGAAGTAAATAAAACACTCAAGAAAAGTATGGGACTCAAAATTAAATATATATTTTTACACATATATATACCAATTTCCTATCTGACTTCCGATGACCACAAAATATATTTCAGAGAAAGACAGCCAGAGTAGATCTCAAATAGTATCAAGGTATTCGTTCTACGTTTGTGTACAACAACCCATTACGAAGGCAGATAAGCAGGACTGCACTTAAATTACAACCCATGTATGTACGTGGAATCGGCATGGACTTAATACCTCATTTAAATGTTTGAAGGGTCACAGCTTCGAACTCTGTGAGTTGGCAAAACACACTCCTATTAGTGGTAGGCAATAAACAAGTGTTGTATACAGTACTCATGGCTAAATGGATATGATTGGTGACCACACAGTACACTGGCTTAGTTCCAGCGACTTTTAATACAAACATCCTCGTGTTATTTCTCAATGAAAACAGCCTAACAATCACACTCTCCTCCGGCAGAAAAGGAGGCATGTAATTATTGTGACATGGATGCCAATTTTGTGTACTGCAAGTCTAAAGTCAAATGTGTCTGTGTGATAAAAGGATATCATAAGTGGTTAAGTAGATAAATAGCTACTCCACATATATATACTGAACATACAGGGAATTAATAAACATCTACACTTACTACCCTAAACATTCAGTTCTGTGATAAGCACTTAATGTCTAGATTGCAGTCCTTGTGTACACTGTACCAGTAATGCAGGTTACTACATATATACTTATAGAACACTGATGGATGGACATGTATTCCTTATATCACAATGAACTTATTTCATAAAACTACCAATAATCAGTTATGCGTTACTGCCATTAGTATATATTTGTAAAGAGACAGACAAAGCAAGGGTCGATCGATATTCATTAATAAACATTGACCCAGAACAGACCTGCCACACCTATTATACATCTACATGTACCCGGATACAATATACATGCATGTAGCTGTTCCCATCCAACTATAGCCCCACCCCTTAGTGGCGATTTAACTTGTATTTTAAAAGGATATATATACAAGTGTACACATTATTTATTATGTCACACATATCCTTTCAAAAACACTAAAAACCGGTTAAGAATACTTGTTAAGTATCGATCCAAATTTTGCACAGAAACTCACAATATATCAGCCTATATGTTTTACCTTTGAAATCAGCAATATACACACTTTATATATTTTGACACATAGTTAATCCCCCATTAAAAATTGAATGGTTGAAAAGTATGATAATCTTTCGAAGATGGTAAATTTGTAACCTGAACTTCTAAGTACAGATGTAATATATTTCATTTTTTAATTCAAATTCAAAATTTTAAAATTTTATTTGCACATTTGTAAAGTTCTGCAAAGTAATAAATTTAAATAGCATAATTAAATCATTATCAGTCAGTTCTAATATTGACTCAAACAAACAAATTCTCTTGAACGATTGCTGTATTGTTATAGTAAATATACAATACTAACTTAATTACTTTTATGCAGCAATTGTTTGATATTCTATAAAACTAAACACTTAATTTGATACTTTGTATCCATACAAGATCATGAAAAAAAGTACCTATATCTCTGGCTGAAAATGATTTATCTATCTATAAAATTACTTTTTGTAGAGTATATTTAGTGTTGGTAGGAGAGGGCAAATAAACAACATTTTTAGAATGGCCCAGTTATACACATTGATACATGTACTTACAGGCTTAAAAATTGTATACCAATCCTTCAGCATAATCAATCTATTTGAAAAAAAAACACTTTTGTTTAATCTAATACAATTTATATTGTATACATGTTGTACATAAGATTTTAAGTTTTTAAAGATTTTGCTATATCACACATATAAAGCATTGTAAAATTGAAGCTGCAACTTTCCCACTTTTGTGTTGCTAAAGTGGTTCTGGTTAGTTTGCAGGTAAATTGTATTATTTAATGTACATTTTCCCCAGATAAATGTGCCAAAAAAAATCAATGAAAATGTCAGATTAACAACCAAATATAACTTTGATGAAATTATTATTTGAGAGGTTGTGAATCATCTCGATAATTAAAACGAAATGGCTAGAAGAAGGAACAAACTAATATAACAGCAGGGCCGCCCCTAGCTAAACATTGTACAAATACTTATAAGGGAGGTAACTCCAACAGGCATACCCATTCATAGATACACATGCAGTTATATTCCCCAGTCAAATGTCTGTAAGGCGAGGATAAAACCTTTTACTTATCTACCTTTTGATCCATGGATAATTTATAGCCTTTTGTGATGTTTTGGTTAAGTGATATACTAAAACTATCTCAGACATACATGTAATGTATCCGTTAAAACTTACAATAGGCCTGTACAAAGGCTTCTTGTAGACATCTTTATATTTATAAATGTGCCGAACTAGTAGGAGTAATCGGTATGCGTAATGGTCAGTTGTAGAGTAAAAGTCTAACACGCTTTCTCATGTTCACCTGAAGTACCGTCCAGTCTACTTAGTAAGCGCATATCCTACGTGCAAGTTAAAATTACAGTTCTTCTTTCGATTTTGCGTTAGGCATACTGGATACCACTGTATACCACTGTATACCACTGCAGTTAGACATCGTAATCAAAGAAACACACTTTTATCGAAGGAACGTCACATTTATGATGTGACACATATTACCAGATTGTCAATATCGGGAGCAGGAACCTACATGTTAGTAACTGTTATGTAGGCTACATCGTAATAAGTGAGGAGCATGATTTGACAAGTGTCAACATCATCAAAACTACTTACAAAAGCACGTGCACTGCTATTATATACCGTATGTTTTAATAAGGGTCATTAACGCTAAAACAAGACAATGAAGAAGCTGATTTAGTCACCTGGGAAGCTTCTTGGATGTCATCCTTCACCTGCCAAATCGACCAGTTACTCCATCAACACATGGTAGACACTGACCTCTAACGGGTCTAGCTGTCTCCATCCTCTATTTCCTGGTAAGGGGCGTTACTCGTATTGAACTACATGTATATTTGTTACTCGTGAGTTGCCACTGTACTGGCACATTTGTCTAGATATTGTGCGGCATACGTGTATTTAACTACCGTAATTACACATAGTTGTGGAAATATCATATTAATACATTATAAAGCTTCATTTGAATGAAATCAGTGTGAATAAAATTTAGATATTCTACTTTGAATTGATTTTCCCAGATCACACAAGTCAGGCCAACACAGAGAAGCAACGTTTAATAGGATGGATGATGGACGCAGGCAATTACTTGCCACTATGTCCATATTTTATTATATAACAATTTTAATTTTAAAAATCACTCCCGTTGTAAATATCACTGGCCGACCTCGTAATGTGGAGGTGCACGTGGAAAAGTCGACAGAAAATAAACTCGGAGTGTAGAATCTTAGAACCTATGGAAAAACCTGGTCACCAAAAAGAAATAACTGACCATTAAATTAATGTGTAAAAGTATGAGAATTTGAAACTAATTTATTATATTAAATGCAGGCTGTGCCATTATAAAACAACGCACAGGTCTATCTCGTGGGAAGCTGCACGAGGAAGGGTATAAGCGGGGTTGTATACGTAAATAAGTAGCAAGGGTGCCTATAGATGTGTTAAGACAATAAAAAAGTATCACGACATCGTCATAAACTAGGGAATACATGTCGTTAACCAGTGTACACTATATATGTTGCAGATATTGACGGCGCTACGTCCCTCTGTACGATGATTATCCAATAAACTTACGTTTCAGAATCAAACTGTGGTATAGACGATAGCTCCTCTAGGTCTGGCTCCACAGACGGTAATACAGTCTGACTAGAACACACTTTTGGCTTCCGACGAATCACTTCTGATTTTTTTGCATTCATGTGAACTTCGTAAACCATTTTTGGGGCGAGGGAGGGCAGCTCCTCGTTATACAGAGTTCCGTGGTCACCGCTCTTTCTGTAGTTGGCCGGAGAGTGGACATTTGATCCATAACCAACCATCTGTGGTCCGAACAGTGCAGCATAGCACGGTCGATGACAATACGGCAATCCCTTGTGCTGAAATTATATTTTTAAAAATCTCAATGGAATACGAAGTATGCCGTGCACGGTTTGCAGAAAAAGAGTTACTTATATTCCGTAAAATATGGTGCAATAGGGTAAACAAAAATGTTTTATTTTGTATTTCAATCATTCTAATCAAACTGTTGTCGTGTTATGCAAACAGGCCAGACCGTGAATCGAACCCGGGACCTCCAAAATATCGACGGTTTGATACTAACCAATATTGAACTAGATCTGGTCACGCGGTCAAAACCCGCTACAAGGAAACTTGCAATAATATAAATGATACAACAAAATCAAAAAAAATTATCCGAGATCTGTTTAGAGGTTGTTTTTTTTTTTTTAATATAAAAATAATAAAAGAATACAATTTATGACAAGTAGGAAGGAATTTACTGTTATTTTTTCTGGAAGTTTTTTTTATATTTATTTTGTCTACTGTATAGATTGAGCACACATCCTGATTAATTAGTTCTTGTCTAAACAAAAATGGACATTCAAACTCTCTGGTCGGCAGTAAAATAAGGAGAGGGAGGTTGACAAAACCTATGTTTTTTTTATCTGGTCTAATTTGTTATATTACATCAAAATACTTTGTCTTATGCGGTGAACAACCAGTTTTTCTGTCCCCGGTATCACAGTAAATATGATTTGCCGAGCACTGTCTGTCGCCTAATAGAGTTGTAGAACACTTAGCTATAAACTCTAAGGCGAGGTGCCCGTACACGCTACATGATTCAGACAACAAGCAGGTAGTAATCAATGAGTTCCAATCGTACAGCAAGCACGTACTGCTCAGCCCATCCATCGATTTCCAGCAGATAATATAGGCATATAATAGGCACTGATCTAAACCAATTCTGCAAGAAAGCTTTCTCGTCGGCATTCCTTGATTCAATTTAGGGTATACTGTCCTATTCCAAAGAAATACTGACTGAGTTAAATCTACGTGCTATAGGTTTTATATATGAATATTGTTTTATCGATTTCACACAAATCTTTGACGGAATGCCTTCCGCATCTGTTCGCCTCCGATGAAGACAAAATGATGAAGGATTACACTCATCGCTTTAAATATCATTAACCACATTCATTGTCGCCAAAAACTGTGGACATGTTATAAGGAAATACACGTCTGTTGTTCGTTTACCTTGTTGGACTAGCAGAGCTCTGGACAATATTGAGAGTCCGACCTCTACTCTAGAATATGCAAATCACCTGCTGATCCGCCGTCTCGTACTTAGTAGTAGGACGCTTTCTTTTGTGAATATTTATCGAATTATTTCCAGTCGTTCAAAGTCATGGGCTAAATATGAATTTGATCCATTTGACATTTGATCTCTTATCGTGAGATTTACCGTAGGGAATGTGTTATGGAAAAGGGTACGTGTGGTGAAACAAAGTTACATCGACACACCCTAACAAAACAGCCCAGACATGATCGTGTGTGGGAACATCCTAAGAGTAGACCGGTTAGGTTTGGGACTAGTCTGGACAGTAAAGAACACCAGCCCCATGCAGACTCGGCTTGGAACTAGTCCCTGGCAGGATAGATGTGACAATACCTCCACATAGGCGAGACTTGGGACTGGTATAAATAGACGGTAGGTTTGACACCATCCCCACGAAGTCTCGGCTTGGGGGGTATAGGTGACACCATCCCCACGAAGTCTCGGCTTGGGACTGGTCTAGATAGGGTAGGTGTGACACCAGCCACACGCAGTCTCGGCTTGGGACGGGGCTAGGTAGAGTAGGTACCAGCCCCTAACAGGGAAGGTTTGAGATTTGTCGCATACAGGATAGGTTGGAGACCATCTAAGGATGTAGATTCGGCGTAAGGCGTAGACGAAACTTAATATTTCTAATATGCAATTTGATTGTGATTCAATTTCATCAAGTTATGTTCTAACACAACGTGCAAACACGCAGTACGACAGGATCCGCCCTAAAGATTACCACAATACTTTTCTTCTTTTGTATGTGACTGAAATTCATGGTTTATAATAAATCAATATATATCAGTATTTCAATGACAGACATGTCGAACGTCTATATAAAGAGTGTGAAATAAAGTCTCCATACATATCCCAAACTGGTACTTCGTATATAAAAAGTGTGCAACAAGGCATCTAAACATTACTACTGTATCTAGAAAAAGGTGCGAAATAATGATTCAATAAATTGGTACTCCGTCCAGAAAAAAAGGTTGCATCCGGGCCTCCATACATTGAAATTATGTCTAGAAAGAATGTACTACAAGGCCTCCTTACATTGTAACTATATCTAGAAAGAGTGCACTACAAGGCCTCCATATATTGGAACTATATCTAGAAGGAGTGCACTACAAGGCCTCCATATATTTGAACTATATCTAGAAGGGCCTCTATACATTGAAACTATAATATCTAGAAGGAGAGCACTACAAGGCCTCCATACATTGTAACTATATCTAGAAGAGTGCACTCCAAGGCCTCCATACATTGAAACTATAATATATAGAAGAGTGCACAACAAGGCCTCCATACATTGTAACTATATCTATAGTGTGCAGCAATGTCTCCATGCAGTAGACCCTCGTCTAAAAAGAGCGTGTAACAAGTATCGAAAACAGTGTGGGACGCGGTTTTCATACATTATAACTAATATCCAAAAAGAGCGTGCAACGATGCATCAATATATTTTAACTACATTCAAAAAAGGGTGCTACAAGATCCAGAAAGGGTGTCCAACAATGCCCCCATACATAGCTTGCTACAAGGCAACTTCGTCCAGAGAAAGGATGCAACAAGGCCTCCATACACTGTAGCTACATGTAACATGGTCTTAATACACTGTAACCATATACAGAACGATCGTGCTTCAAGGCAACGATAAAATGAAACTATATCTAAAACCGAACACTTCATAGATCTCGACATGCATGTATTTCCTTTAGAGAGAGAGGGCACAATAAGGCCTCCGTACATTGCAATGGTCTGTGGAACTGCCCAATGAAGCTGGAAAATGCATTTGTTCCTAGACTGGAGCGATTTACTGGCGGTGTCTGGGCTGGAATCTCCAGACATAAACCAGCACGGAACGCCGAGATGTCTCACACGGCTGACGTCATGTATATTGGACTAATGACTAGTTTGGGACCTGTATTCAATGGACAGCTACGTACAATAAGCTGTATCTGTCTACACTGGAAACTGGTCCCTCATTTTTCACATGTCTCTGAAGAGGCACTCCATAGACGGTGTTGCATGTCAATCGCTGTTGTGGACAGCAGACGACAGACATCAACTCCGATACAGCCTTTCACGAAGTGGTACAATGGTTCGGTAAATATATGGAACCATCCCCCAATCTCATTTATCCTGATTATTAAAAAATTGAGAACAAAGCACGAGCGTGGTTAAATATACTGTTTCCAAAACTATAGCTTCATAAAGGAGCACTTCAACAACTGGTGAAGGGCTGAATAATGTTTTGTTAGATCTCATGGGACGAATTGTCTCAAGACCAACTCAATTCATGACATCACTCTACAAATTGACCAAAACAATAGTCAGTCCTTCACCAGATGTTGAAGTCCTACTTTATAAAATCATTTGTTGAAGACCCAATTGACGGCAACGGTTTTTTTCAAATACATACTATATATATATTAACTCTTATGACAGAGCATGGCGACATTTTTCGGTATTCAACAATACTCGTGAAATATGTAGAGTTTTCAATGAGGAACTGTTAAATAATACATGTATCTTATTTATCAAAAATATTGACGATAAATATGGTGTTACATTATCCCGAACGAAGTCATACGACTCAACAACTCGACTATTCTCCACTACTGACACTGCATACGACTACATCATCTAGATTGTTGATTTGTACGATGTCATCTTAGTGCGTCTTCATACGTTATCTCGACTATTGACATTTAATACGACGTTAATTACATATGTATCTCGACTGTTCACAATTCAATACGACGTGGTACGAATGTAGCACATATATATGTCAAGTTATCTCGAATGTTGATAGTTTATACTTATACGACGTCATTATCTCGGCTGTTGACACCGAATACGACATCACAATATATCTACTGTTGGCAATGCGTACGACGTAGTAGTATCGTGACTATTGACGATGTGTATCTCGACTACCCTTCCCTTCGACTTCACTCCGCCAATACTCGTGAGTAATCGTCATCGATCAGCAGATGATTGACACATGAATCACTTACGGATAACGATCAGCACCAATTAACATGAATCACTTTTGTTTATGATATTACGTATCATATCACTATCAAACACACTCCGGATTCACTTACATACAATGTACCGGTCCTTACTAACACTACACACAGATTTCAATTTAGATTTCAGGTTACAGTGTCTAATGATATGTACGGGGGTATACTGGGAGAGATGTTGAAACACATAACACTTGTTACGACCAAATGTCATAGCAGTAGAATCTCCATATGTGCCAGAATACTATAACGAACAGTCTGAATAATCGGAGCACCTGCAGGCGACAATACCACTATTGATTGGAAAGCACTGCCAGACAAGACATTGACTACAACTTGGAAGAACATTGAGTAACCTGATGTCACGGTTGATATTTCGTCAGAGCTATGTAACCTCCTCCTGAAGACTTTTCCAAAGGCATATATGTTAGCTTCAGATAGATATTTTATTTAAAACATTGCGTTCCACAAGGCAATTCCTAGGGTGATTACAGATTAAAAAAAGTAAATAAAGCTAATAAAAAACCTGTACCACACTGAGGAATGATGACACCAATACTATGGCACACTCGATGGCCTTACAGATTTCAGGTTCACTAGTACTGTCACTTTCACATAAGTCTCTATCCACATTCGCGATTTCAAATTTGAAAAAGCAATAAATACTACACGCGGAAACTTGCCCGGATTTCGGAAATGTAAGTTGTCATGGTAACGCGACAATTTCAAATTGGCATTTTTAATG